GTATTGTTTTTTACAGGTTAGGATGGGACCACCCGGATACGGCCCCTATCGGCCGGCCTGAGGGGGGAGTAGGAGTATATTCTAATAAGGAATAAGGATAGGAGTAGGAGTAGGGATAGGAGTAGGAGTCAAGCTAGCCAGCTCGAGCGAGTCAAGCATGGCATGCCCAGTCCCACCCGCCCTCCCACAACATAAGAAGCAAAGCTGGCACAACGGGGGGCCGAAGTCACACCGGCCAGCCGGTTTGGTACAGCTGATGCGGCCGCGATGGCGGTTGCCGACGGGAACTGGCGAGCGCGTGTTGAATGCCGCGCACGAATTGCCAGACGAGTCGAGAATGGCTCAAGGGGCCCCAACAGGAGGCGTCCAGAAGGGCCCCAAACTTTTTTTTTTGTGTTGCGCACATCACCATTCCTGCCCCCTGCAAAGCATTTTGCGACGTGGACGACAGGACGTCCATGCTGATAGGAAAAACGTTGGTGCGCGGCGCCGAGGCGAGAGCGACATGTCACCCCTTCGCGCGGGGTGTGCGCCGCGTCCCATTCCTGCCACGCATTTTGCGACGTGACGACAGCACGACCATGTTGACAAGAAAAAACAAAAACTGTGTATTGTCTTTTGCAGATTAGAATGGGACGGATTGGATGGGCGGGCGCGGGCCCAGTGGTTGTTGCGCGCCGCGTCCCATTTCCTGCCACGCATTTTTGCGGACGTGGGACGACAGGGACGTCCTATGCGACGGTTGCCAATGACGGCGGGACGACACGACTCTAGAAGGATTTAAGCATGCGCTCGCGCGCATGCGCTCGCAGGCGACGCGCGCGCACATGTTTCGCACCGCTTGCCGCGTGGTATTTTCTTTGCACAGGATTCGCGGCCTGGGTGCATGACAGAGCATCGCGAGTGCACCGCGCGATGACGTAAATCGCTGGATTTGACAGAATTCTTAAGATTCCTATGGTTTTCCTATGATTTCAGCAAGAGAGCCCGGGCGGGAAATTTGTACAATTTTTGTGAAAAAGCATTGGGTTTTTGATGTTTTTATGTTGAAATGCTTGCAAACACACGGTGTTCGGTAGGATTCTGACATGAACGCGCGCGCGTGCTCTTTGTGGTATTTTTTGCAATGGATTATCGCCGTGGACGACAGGACGTCCATGTCGAGAGGAAAAATAAGAAAAATGTTGATTTTGTATGGTTTTTTATAGGTTAGGATGGGGCCACCCGGATGGGGCCCCTATCTGCCGGCCTGAGGGGGGAGTAGGAATATATTCTAATAAGGAATAATGATAGGAGGAGGAGGAGGAGGAAGAACATGGGGAGGAGGAGGAGGAGGATGCACCGTTGAGTGCAGTGTCTGCAGGAGCCCCTCCTCCTTTTCGTCTGGGCAGGCTGCGCTTATCGCACTGCTGCACAAGCTGCTGAAAGAAAAGTTGTCTATGCCCATGGATTTTTTCAGGCGCCTGGGGTCATCGCTTCCACTTACGCCTGCCGCGGATAAGGACATCTCAAAGATAACCATCGTGCAAGCAGCCAAAGGTCACCATGCCCTTCTCCCGCCGATGTATGGCCTCAGCGAGTTTCGGTTCCTGTTGTCGGGCAAAGAGTTAATCGTTGGCATTGCGCTGGATATCAACACGACTAGCCTCAAGGGCGCGTTGGAGGAGTGCGAGAAGATGGATGGCTACAATCTGGCCAAGGCTGCGAAGGAGGCGGGTAATTTCGCTGTCGTGTTGACTCCTGGCAAGCTCGTGTGCCTCCCTGTGGGCTTCATCTACTTGACCTACCGCGTCGAGAACAGCCAGTCGATGAGGTGGTGCTGTTTCAACAGGGGTGGCAGTTCCAGCAGCGTCGAGCTGGCGGTCACCAGGCTGAACCTCTGGGCCACTGCCATCATGGAGGCGTTCCCGAGCCTCACGGCTTCCGCCCCGCTTTACAAAGATAGTTCCGAGGCGTGCAGACGTTGCGCCGATGCGAAGCACGTGGCCGCCCCAGCGTGAGCCCCCACCAGCGGGTTCTCGCGCTGGTTCTCGCGAGCCCCAGCCTCCTGCCAGGCCTTTGAAGTAGCACGTGCTGCTCAGCGGATGTGGGTTTGTCGTTTAGGCCATAGCATGTGGGAGGGTCGAGGGGCCTAGCAGGGAGTAAGGACGCAGGCAAACAGTGAGATGGGTGAGAGCAGGGGTAAGTGGAGGGGTGCCGTGCGGTCGGGTGCACAGCTGGCCACACAAACACAGAGGTGATGTGTGCGCGAAACACTAGACCTCGCCCTCCTCCTCCTCCTCCTCCTCCTCCTCCTCCTCATCTTCCTGGTGCTAGTGTGCTGCTACCCCTCCTCCTCCTCCTCCTCCTCCTCCTCCTGGCTCCTCCTCCTCCGCCTGGCTCCTCCTCCTCCTCGTCATCCTGGCTCCTACTCCTCCTGGCTCCTCCTCCTCCTCCTGGGCCCTCCTCCTCATCATCATCCACGCCCCTCTGGTTGCTACTGGCCTTGCTGCTGATGTGCTTGCCTGTGCTGCCGCTGATGCTACTGAAAGTGCTGCTGCTGCTACTGATGCTGCCTCCACCTTCCCCCTCGCTCGACTGGCTTGTCTTCCCTTGCTGCCTGCGTCGGCCCCTCGCCGCGCTCAGGAGTCGGTCAGGGGCCTCTCATATCGCACCGACGGTTTGGCGCCGTGCCTCCTGCGGGGCTTGACCTACCTGTGGGTCTTCAGTCTCGGGGAGGGCAGCGGGGGCACTGTGGGCCTCTCCGTGGGCAGGCCCAGGGGGCGGAGGTGGAGGAGATGGAGGAGGAGGAGGAGGGGGGGGGGAGGGGGAGGAGAAGGAGAGGAGAAGGAGGAGGAGGGACGAGGAAAAGGGAGGTCGACGGAGGGAGATGGAGGTGGAGGGATGAATGCCGAAGGAGGGTGGACGAGGAACATGGTCAAGGGGTGGTGGTGAACGTGGCGAGGAAGAACATAAAGATGAGGAAGAGGAGGGGGGCGGGAGGATGAGGACGGCCATCCAAGGTTCGTCACGCCTCGTGAACGCTTCCTGCTGCATGGGTTTCTAGACACGCCTCCGCTCCTTCCGAAATGTGTGCAGGTACAAGCGAGCGGCAACTGCATGTCGCTCCCGTGCGTAGCCGCTGCGATTTTCACGGTGCTCCAGGATTCCCCGCATTTTTTCTCGGGTGGTTCGGAATAAACGGCGATTGCCCCACAGTAGGTAACTAGGAATCAGGGTCGACGACCCTAGTGCACATATGGCAGCGATCGCGGGCAGTAGGTCTATGCCATCGGCAATGCCTCTCATACTACGCATTGCCCGCTAGGACAGAACGATCGAGCGCCCGAGCTCGGCAGTGAAAACATTCTCCAGGGAGATGCTCTGCCCTTCGATTTGCTCATGGACAGTAGTATTG